TCTGCCAGCTTTTTTATTCCACTTGGAAATCGTTTGGGATCCGCCTGGAGGCGACCGTCTTTTGTTCTGCTCATTGCTGACCAGCAATCCTAATTTGTAAAATATTTCATCCAGATACTGATTAAAAACAGTACAAAATATGTTTAAGTAAACCTTCACGCCTCAAACAATTTTCTGCATGTTGAAATAATGGACAAAGTTTTGCAGTTTAACTCTTACTTTAAAACATGTGGAAAACATGTAAAAAGTATTTTGATATTAGAAAGTGTGAGCACGACGCCATTTTGTAACGACGCCATTTTGAATTTTATGACGTCACACAACGAACACTTACATCGATACAGACGTACTTATATCCAGCATCTCTGTATCCGCCGTATGCCATCGCATCAGCCATTTCCATGTACAGCCTCTCGCTGTCAAAATAATAAGACTGTTAGATGCTGTGTCGTGTACAGAAAGTCGAATAACTTGCCCAGCAGCAAATTTTTGTTTTGTCTTCTACCTGATGCAGTTTCGAGGATCATTTTCACAGTCTGTGACGCAACGAAATCTCTCCCACGACATCCATCCCACTGGAAAGTAGAATAGAAGAAAAGAAACTGATTGACATAACAGTCAAGAGGAGGTAAATCATTAAGGGAGACCATTGGATCGTCACCGTTAACAACCCATGAATTTTTTTTAAGGTAGCTTCTGACGGTTTCTGGTTCTTTCAAGCATGTATAATTTTATGGATAAATAACGACGCTAGTTATCACTTAGGTCTGTATTAATGGCATCAAACGAATTGGCAATCAGTTTTTTAACAAGCTGAGGTCATCATCCTGATATAAAAGGCTGCCACATCCGGTCATATCCGAGCGGGTTTCCTCAGAAAATCAGTTTTGTGATTGTAGCGAATCGAAAACATTACGGGTGACGAAATCGAAGGCAGGCGAGCGAAATTTGTTGTGTTCTTAACTACAGTCCCTGAACCATCCCTCTCTCGCCTTATATAGAGACTGAACCCAGGCGGGAGGAGAGAGAGAGTCCACAGTCCAGGATAACGTACATGCGCATGCTCAAAAAGAACCAATCAAAGTGTGGTTTGTTTAGGACACTCAGTAAAATGAGGTTAATGACGGAATGGAAATTGAATATAGAGGAATGAACGTCTAATACTTAACGGCAGTAGAGTGAGTGCTTTTATAGCGACTGTAGAATAAATATGAACATATATTAATATAGAACATGTTAAAATGATAGATATGAGAGTGCTAGGACGGTTGAATTTATCCTTATTTGACGGTTTAGGCCGAACCAATTTCGATCCTTCATTTTAGGTAAGAGAGTAAAAAACAAAATATACGAGGACTGAAATCATTGATGAAAAAGACATTTAAGAGCCTTGAAGTTTATTACTGAAGTAGAAAATTTGTCGAAGATGTGGATCAATTAAGATAATTGCTACAGACACCTAATTTGTTTTTCTTTCAATGTTTAAATTGCCTAGACAGGTGCCAGGCAGGTACTAGAAAAGCAATCTTTACGTACCCAGTGACTTGATGTAAGTTATATGAACGAAAGCCAATAAACAGTGAGTTTCACGCGGGAAAATAAAGTATTTGCTGTAGATGTCACAACGATCCTGGTACTATACGTTAATGAGTCGTATAATGCTAAGGCTTACAGATTAGATACCCTAAAATTTCTACCGAATCATCGACTGTGCAGTCATACACTCCTAAAATAACTGATTATCCATATTAGCTCTACTTACTTGGTGGAGTGACTGCGAGCCCATTGTCCAGCGAATTGACGTGTTGGAAAAGCGAGGAAAATAGGTAAAGAACAGCTGTTTTTCTCAAAATTTGCATCGCTGTTCGTTAGCTGTCTTCGTTTTGAAATTAATTTCATGTGGCAGCTTTTCTTTATTGGAAACATCTGAACCGTGACCTCAAAGGAAAATCATCATTGCTGGTGTTTTAAAGCTGTCATTTGATATTTAACTAGCAAGCAAAACAAACATGTTGTGTTCTTTGCCAAGACACTTTACTCTGACGTTGCCTGTATGCACCCGGGAGCGTAAATTGGTACCGGTAATTGAGAAGGCGTTGTGTGATAAAATTTTAGAATTACCTGCAATGAAACAGCATTCTTCCAATGGAGGTAGGAGCATTTCTAGGCTACTTCGCGCTGGTTGAGATGAGCTTTATCTTTTTCTTAACTTGATCAGCTGGATCGCATTAGAACTGAGAGAAGAAATACTAAAATCCCTTTTTATGTTGTTGGAAAGCAGGGTGTCAGCCTTGAGTTGGTGGCCAATTTTAAAACTATATTTCGGGCATCGAGCTGATTTGCTTTACTAATGCGCGATGCACAGGTGTCAGTCGACTTTAAAACTAGAAAATAACTGAAATATTGCTCTTGGAAATATCAGCAGATGTCCCATTGTAAGATGCAGCAAAGGCTAGTAAGTAGATATAAAAAGAATAAACATTTACTTTGAAAAGTGCAAATCTCATCTACGGTTTTCTTTTACGCAAAAAGACGAACATTCGGTCCCGAACTCACCCGGGTCGCGGGATCACTGCGCCTAAACAAAATATATTCCGAGGTGTTCAGTTACGTCCAAAAAAAAAACCGCTTTCGCGGTTTTGGAAATCCCTTGAGGGTCTACTGTGACGCAAAGTTTACTCACGCGGACAACCCTAGCGGCGTTACACGCAGTTTTATCATCGACAAAAACCTCCACGCATCGCGCGTGGTAACGTCATCCGCGGAAAAACTGGGTGTTACATCTTAAAATAATTTGAGAGGGATCATCTTGGGAATAAAGCTGATATGGAGGATTAACTCTCTTATCTTTCATCCTCTAATGGTTAAGCCTGGCTCTAAACGTACTTGGAATATCTTATTAGAATCTGGCCTGTTTTTTTCAATACCGAGTTAAATATTTTAGGAAATGTACATGACGTATTACGTGCGGATTAAATACTCATCGCGTCACGATCAGATTTTTGACGTTAAATATATATTGGCTAGAATATTGTTGCTCTGGTGCGGTGAAATAAAATGTGCCAAAATATGGAGACATGTAGATACCAAGTTTGAACTTGTTTGAAACATTTTAGGGATCTCCTAGATCCGAGCGTAGTTGCCCACCCAAAAGTATTTGCCAAGTATCCACTCGCCCTAGGGTAGATTGCCCTCCGAGACTACAGGGAAGTGGAATGTTAATTGAGGACTTGCGTAACATGCGGACAAACCTTAGATTGCATGCGAAGCAGTCTAACGTTTGCAGGGAAATTTATATGTTGAGTAGATGTCCGACTGAAATAACAAGAATTGCTGAAAATAATTGTGTACTCTTGAAAATGCTAGTGATAATATTTTACTCTGAAAATATTCTGTCACTTTGGTAATCCGATAAGTTGACACTGACGCGGAGAACATTAAAAATGATATCCTATTAGCGAGTGGTGTCGATAGGTTTAATTTTAGCTGCGTGAAAATGACATTTACAGACATAGCGGCCAAGAAAAATAAACGAAGTATAGATTGCTTTAATTTTTTTTTCAGTAAGAGTCATTTCTCGACAAACTTGTCAACGGCATTGACCAAGCTCAATATGGAGCTCGATTTGTGCAAACAATTAAATATTTTTAAAGAAGATTATCTGAAAATCGTTTGAAATTGACTGAGACTGTAATTAAGTGGCCCATTATCAACTGTTTCCTCTACGGCACGCGCATCAACTGTTTTCACTACGGCGTTTTTTGATTACACTGCGCAGTAGTCAGTCACTCTATTACTCCTGCTCTTTTATAATTACGTCTTGTCCCAGTGTGGCTGATAGTATCCTCACACCATCCTTTTCTGTAAGATTTTAGCAGCTACAACTGTAGTATACCGTGGTCAATTCCATGATTTTATTTCAAGAGACGTGTTAAAAATGGCATCAACAAAATTCTACATGTGACGTTTTTATGTATATTTTTGTTAGTGGAGTTAATTTTTGAGGGTATAATTTTGCGAGAACTTTATTTTGGCTGGAAACGTTTTCGTGGAAAAAACCGCAAAAATGGCAAAAATCAGAAAAATTGGAACCCACAAAAATTTCGTGTCACAAGGCACTGAGTATAAACTGAAGTCAGAAGTTTAAAATCCCTTGTTCTACTTTATGTTTAAAACTTAATTGCACAACAATATACGATAACATTGCCTTAAATAGCAATGCTTCGACTTTGTCACTTGAGAGGGGAAATTTTGTCCCATAATTGGACAATAAAAATATGCCCCGAGGTTGAAATCTCTTGTTCTACCCTTTTTTAACCTCATTAAAAAATAATAATAATTAAAAAAAAAAAAGCGAAAATAATTCTTAAATGGCAATACACCTTTGGTGTCACATCAGATGTTAACTAAAAAAATTGATCACCTCTTGGGCTGATGCTATGCTTCTGAGAAATTGTTTTGTACATGTTTAGCGTATGTTTAGAGAGCTTTCATTATTTCTATGACAACTGAAGACCCGTTTTTCTGTGTTAGTTCTTTCGTTAAGAGAATTCATAAATTTCGATTTCAAAATGTCGTTGTAAGACGAATTTAAAACTGCCGTAGTTTCCTTGCACTTTAGTGCGGACTATACGGCTGCGGTTTCTACAAAGATTGCCCCATGAAAGCGTGAGAGCGTACACAAGAGTGTCGATTGGTATTAAGGGTTGTAATAATTTGGCGTTGCTTCATTGAGATTCACGGTGTTTCAGCAAGCAGGAAGAAATACACGTGTTGGCTTGATTACATGTGTTGGCGCTGTTTCCTTCACGCTAAAACATCTAAAGCTTCAGTCAAGCAACCGTAAGCCTCCGTTACCTGTAATACCGCCTAAGCTTTCAATTTACGCTTTCGTATAAGACCTTATTTCTATAAACAGCTGTATATAAACGTGTTAGCTACAATGCAAAGACAGAAGCTGGCATAGAGTTTGTGTTCTCATGGTTATCGAGACATATTACGTGCTCGTTTATTAAATAATCTCTTGAATTTTTCTCACGTGCACAGCCCAAGCTACTTTACACGCATTTTTATCCTCCACAAAAACTTCCACGCATCGCGCGTGGTAATGTCATCCGCGGAAAAGCCGGGTTTGACATCTTAAAATAATTTGAGAGGGATTACCTTGGGAATAAGGCTGATATGGAGGATTAACTCTCTTATCTTTTATCCTCTAATGGTTAAGCCTGACTCTAAACGCACCTGCATTATCCTGTTAGAATCCGGCCTGTTTTTCCAATATCGACTTAAATATTCTAGGAGTTGTACGTGACGTATTGCGTGCGAATTGAATGCTCAAGTATTCTAGCGCGTCACGATCAGATTTTTGACGTTAATTTATGTACTGACTAGAATATTTTTGTGAAATGTAAGAAAATATAAACAGATATTGTAGTATTATGGGGAACAGGTAGATCTAGTACCAACTTTGAACTTGTTTGAGAAATTTAAGGGGTTTCCTATAGACCGGAGCGTAGTTGCCCACCCAAAAGTTTTTGCCAAGTATCCACTCGCCCTAGGGCAGATTGCCCTCCGACACTACAGGGAAGTGGAATGGTAACTGGGGACTTGCGTAACATACGGACAAACGTTAGATTGCATGCGATCAGAATCAGTCTAGCAGTATTAGTTTACTAACACCACCAGTTTGCAGGGAAATTTATATATTGAGAAAATGTCCGCTTGAAATAAGAAGAATTTCTGAAAATAATTGGTACTCTTTAAAATGCTAGTGATAATATTTTACACTGAAAATATTCCATCACTTTGGTAATCCGATAAGTTGACACACGCGTTCGAGAACATTAAAAAGGATATCCTATTAGCGAGTGTGTGTTGATAGCTTGAAGTCTGTTAGCTACGTGAAAATGGCATTTATAGATATAGCGGCCAAGAAAAACAAAGGAAGTATACATTCCTTTATTTATTTATTTATTTATTTTTTCAGTAAGAGTCATTTTTCGACAAACTGGTCAACGGTATTGTCTGAACCCAATATAGAGCTCAGTTTGTGCAAACAATTACATCTTTTTAAAGAAAATTATCTGGAAATCGTTTGAAATTCCCTGAGACTGAAATTAAGTGGGCCATTATCAACTGTTTCCTCTAGCTACGGCACGCGAAGCTAAGTACTTTGATTTCTTTTGTTTTTGTCGGCCAGTGTTTCTCGTAATTTCAACTAATTGATTTTTTTCGGGTTGTAATCTTGTACTGTTAACCATTATCTTGAATTATTCTCTCGTCATCTCTGCTTACAACTTCTATTTCTGTTAATAACAGTGCAACCACTACCGTGTGGCAGGAAGTCTAATTTTGCGGATCGCCGAATTTTTTGTATTTTGCGGGAAAGATTTTAACATCAACGAAATTCTACATGTGAGGTTTTCATGTACATTTTTGTCAGTGGAGTTACTTTATGAAGGTATAATTTTGCGAGACCTATATTTTTGCTGGAAACGTTTTGAGCGAATCGTGGAAAAAACCGCAAAAATCGCAAAAATCAGAAAAATTAGAACCCACAAAAATTTTGTGTCACAAGGTAGAGAGTATAAAAAAGTTAGAAATACGACAAACAGGATCACGAGTTTAAAATCCCTTTTTGTACCCTATTTTTAAAACTTAATTGCAAAACAAAAATATACCTAACATTGCCTTAAATAGCAATAAATCGACTGTGCAACTTGAGAGGGGAAGTTTTCTTCCATAATTGGACTATGAAAAAATGCCCCGAGGTTGAAATCTCTTGTTCTACCCTTTTTTAACCTCATTAAAAAATAATAATAATTAAAAAAAAAAAAACGAAAAAAATTGTTAAATGGCAATACACCCTCTGTGTCACATCAGATGTCACGACTAAAAAAATTTATCACCTCTTGGGCTGACGCTGTGCTTCTGAAAAATTGTTTTGTACATGTTCAGCGTATGTTTAGAGAGCTTTCATTATTTCTATAACAACTGAAGACCCGTTGTTCTGTGTCAGTTCTTTCGTTAAGAGAATTCATAAATTTCGATTTCAAAATGTCGTTGTAAGACGAATTTAAAACTGCCGTAGTTTCCTTGCACTTTAGTGCGGACTATACGGCTGCGGTTTCGACAAAGATTGCCCCATGAAAGCGTGAGAGCGTACACAAGAGTGTCGATTGGTATTAAGGGTTGTAATAATTTGGCGTTGCTTCATTGAGATTCACGGTGTTTCAGCAAGCAGGAAGAAATACACGTGTTGGCTTGATTACATGTGTTGGCGCTGTTTCCTTCACGCTAAAACATCTAAAGCTTCAGTCAAGCAACCGTAAGCCTCCGTTACCTGTAATACCGCCTAAGCTTTCAATTTACGCTTTCGTATAAGACCTTATTTCTATAAACAGCTGTATATAAACGTGTTAGCTACAATGCAAAGACAGAAGCTGGCATAGAGTTTGTGTTCTCATGGTTATCGAGACATATTACGTGCTCGTTTATTAAATAATCTCTTGAATTTTTCTCACGTGCACAGCCCAAGCTACTTTACACGCATTTTTATCCTCCACAAAAACTTCCACGCATCGCGCGTGGTAATGTCATCCGCGGAAAAGCCGGGTTTGACATCTTAAAATAATTTGAGAGGGATTACCTTGGGAATAAGGCTGATATGGAGGATTAACTCTCTTATCTTTTATCCTCTAATGGTTAAGCCTGACTCTAAACGCACCTGCATTATCCTGTTAGAATCCGGCCTGTTTTTCCAATATCGACTTAAATATTCTAGGTGTTGTACGTGACGTATTGCGTGCGAATTGAATGCTCAAGTATTCTAGCGCGTCACGATCAGATTTTTGACGTTAATTTATATACTGACTAGAATATTTTTGTGAAATGTAAGAAAATATAAACAGATATTGTAGTATTATGGGGAACAGGTAGATCTAGTACCAACTTTGAACTTGTTTGAGAAATTTAAGGGGTTTCCTATAGACCCGAGCGTAGTTGCCCACCCAAAAGTTTTTGCCAAGTATCCACTCGCCCTAGGGCAGATTGCCCTCCGACACTACAGGGAAGTGGAATGGTAACTGAGGACTTAAGTAACATACGGACAAACGTTAGATTGCATGCGATCAGAATCAGTCTAGCAGTATTAGTTTACTAACACCACCAGTTTGCAGGGAAATTTATATATTGAGAAAATGTCCGCTTGAAATAAGAAGAATTTCTGAAAATAATTGGTACTCTTTAAAATGCTAGTGATAATATTTTACACTGAAAATATTCCATCACTTTGGTAATCCGATAAGTTGACACACGCGTTCGAGAACATTAAAAAGGATATCCTATTAGCGAGTGTGTGTTGATAGCTTGAAGTCTGTTAGCTACGTGAAAATGGCATTTATAGATATAGCGGCCAAGAAAAACAAAGGAAGTATACATTCCTTTATTTATTTATTTATTTATTTTTTCAGTAAGAGTCATTTTTCGACAAACTGGTCAACGGTATTGTCTGAACCCAATATAGAGCTCAGTTTGTGCAAACAATTACATCTTTTTAAAGAAAATTATCTGGAAATCGTTTGAAATTCCCTGAGACTGAAATTAAGTGGGCCATTATCAACTGTTTCCTCTAGCTACGGCACGCGAAGCTAAGTACTTTGATTTCTTTTGTTTTTGTCGGCCAGTGTTTCTCGTAATTTCAACTAATTGATTTTTTTCGGGTTGTAATCTTGTACTGTTAACCATTATCTTGAATTATTCTCTCGTCATCTCTGCTTACAACTTCTATTTCTGTTAATAACAGTGCAACCACTACCGTGTGGCAGGAAGTCTAATTTTGCGGATCGCCGAATTTTTTGTATTTTGCGGGAAAGATTTTAACATCAACGAAATTCTACATGTGAGGTTTTCATGTACATTTTTGTCAGTGGAGTTACTTTATGAAGGTATAATTTTGCGAGACCTATATTTTTGCTGGAAACGTTTTGAGCGAATCGTGGAAAAAACCGCAAAAATCGCAAAAATCAGAAAAATTAGAACCCACAAAAATTTTGTGTCACAAGGTAGAGAGTATAAAAAAGTTAGAAATACGACAAACAGGATCACGAGTTTAAAATCCCTTTTTGTACCCTATTTTTAAAACTTAATTGCAAAACAAAAATATACCTAACATTGCCTTAAATAGCAATAAATCGACTGTGCAACTTGAGAGGGGAAGTTTTCTTCCATAATTGGACTATGAAAAAATGCCCCGAGGTTGAAATCTCTTGTTCTACCCTTTTTTAACCTCATTAAAAAATAATAATAATTAAAAAAAAAAAAACGAAAAAAATTGTTAAATGGCAATACACCCTCTGTGTCACATCAGATGTCACGACTAAAAAAATTTATCACCTCTTGGGCTGACGCTGTGCTTCTGAAAAATTGTTTTGTACATGTTCAGCGTATGTTTAGAGAGCTTTCATTATTTCTATAACAACTGAAGACCCGTTGTTCTGTGTCAGTTCTTTCGTTAAGAGAATTCATAAATTTCGATTTCAAAATGTCGTTGTAAGACGAATTTAAAACTGCCGTAGTTTCCTTGCACTTTAGTGCGGACTATACGGCTGCGGTTTCGACAAAGATTGCCCCATGAAAGCGTGAGAGCGTACACAAGAGTGTCGATTGGTATTAAGGGTTGTAATAATTTGGCGTTGCTTCATTGAGATTCACGGTGTTTCAGCAAGCAGGAAGAAATACACGTGTTGGCTTGATTACATGTGTTGGCGCTGTTTCCTTCACGCTAAAACATCTAAAGCTTCAGTCAAGCAACCGTAAGCCTCCGTTACCTGTAATACCGCCTAAGCTTTCAATTTACGCTTTCGTATAAGACCTTATTTCTATAAACAGCTGTATATAAACGTGTTAGCTACAATGCAAAGACAGAAGCTGGCATAGAGTTTGTGTTCTCATGGTTATCGAGACATATTACGTGCTCGTTTATTAAATAATCTCTTGAATTTTTCTCACGTGCACAGCCCAAGCTACTTTACACGCATTTTTATCCTCCACAAAAACTTCCACGCATCGCGCGTGGTAATGTCATCCGCGGAAAAGCCGGGTTTGACATCTTAAAATAATTTGAGAGGGATTACCTTGGGAATAAGGCTGATATGGAGGATTAACTCTCTTATCTTTTATCCTCTAATGGTTAAGCCTGACTCTAAACGCACCTGCATTATCCTGTTAGAATCCGGCCTGTTTTTCCAATATCGACTTAAATATTCTAGGAGTTGTACGTGACGTATTGCGTGCGAATTGAATGCTCAAGTATTCTAGCGCGTCACGATCAGATTTTTGACGTTAATTTATGTACTGACTAGAATATTTTTGTGAAATGTAAGAAAATATAAACAGATATTGTAGTATTATGGGGAACAGGTAGATCTAGTACCAACTTTGAACTTGTTTGAGAAATTTAAGGGGTTTCCTATAGACCGGAGCGTAGTTGCCCACCCAAAAGTTTTTGCCAAGTATCCACTCGCCCTAGGGCAGATTGCCCTCCGACACTACAGGGAAGTGGAATGGTAACTGGGGACTTGCGTAACATACGGACAAACGTTAGATTGCATGCGATCAGAATCAGTCTAGCAGTATTAGTTTACTAACACCACCAGTTTGCAGGGAAATTTATATATTGAGAAAATGTCCGCTTGAAATAAGAAGAATTTCTGAAAATAATTGGTACTCTTTAAAATGCTAGTGATAATATTTTACACTGAAAATATTCCATTACTTTGGTAATCCGATAAGTTGGCGCACGCGTTCGAGAACATTAAAAATGATATCCTATTAGCGAGTGTGTTGATAGCTTGAAGTCGGTTAGCTACGTGAAAATGACATTTATAGATATAGCGGCCAAGAAAAACAAACGAAGTATAGATTGCTTTCATTTTTTTTTTCAATAAGAGTCATTTTTCGACAAACTGGTCGACGGTATTGTCTAAGCCCAATATAGAGCTCAGTTTGTGCAAACAATTACATGTTTTTAAAGAAGATTATCTAGAAATCGTTTTGAAATTTACTGAGACTGTAATTAAGTGGGCCATTATCAACTGTACGTTTCCTCTACGGCACGTGATGCAAAGTACTTTGATTTGTTTTGCTTTTGTCGTCTAGTGTTTCTCGTAATTTCAACTAATTGATTTTTTCGGGTTGATATCTTGTACTGTTAACCATTATCTTGTATTATTCTCTCGTCACTCCGCTTACAACTTCTATTTCTGTTAATAACAGTGCAACCACTACCGTGTGGCAAGAAGTTTAATTTTGCGGATCGCCGAATTTTTTGTATTTTGCGGGAAAGATTTTAGCATCAACAAAATTCTACATGAGAGGTTTTTATGTAAAGTTTTGTCAGTGGAGTTACTTTTTGAGGGTATAATTTGGCGAAAACTATATTTTTGCTGAAAACGTTTTGAGCGAATCGTGGAAGAAACCTCAAAAATCGCAAAAATCAGAAAAATTAGAACCCACAAAAATTTTGTGTCACAAGGTACAGAGAATAAAAAAGTCAGAAATACGATAAACAGGATCACGATTTTAAAACCCCTTGTTGTGCCCTATTTTTAAAACTTAATTGCAAAACAAAAATATACCTAACATTGCCTTAAATAGCAATAAATCGACTTTACACGTGTTGGCTTGATTACATGTGTTGGCGCTGTTTCCTTCACGCTAAAACATCTAAAGCTTCAATCAAGCAACCGGAAGCCACCATTACCTGTAATACCGCAAAGACTTTCAATTTACGCTTTCGTGTACGACACCTTTTCTATAAACAGCTGCATATAGACGTGCTACAACACAAAGACAGAAGCTGGCATAGAATTTGTGTTATTATGGTTATCGAGACATCTTGCGTGCTAGTTAATTGAATAATCGCTTTTGAAGCAGCCGTGAACTAGTTACAAACACTTCATATGTTGACACTTGCAATCAATCATGATAGCCCGAGGGCTTCGCTTTATCTGACAACAAGATAAGTCTGAGGTAAAAAATAGAAATTGAAATTCCGTGCTACAAGCATCTTAAATCACGAAACGTCGGAATGAAATGAAAAAAAAAGTCCTAACTTATGGTTTGAAAGTACGGGATTTGTCTATTTTAGAGACGTTTGCCAGCCATGAAATCACGCCTTTACTTCATGGTATCTAAAATCAAATCTCCGCTAGCTTGTTCAGTTACAACTTAGTTGTTTTCCATTTGCAAGTTTTGCAAGATCGTTTTACGCCAAAACATTGACAGACTATGAAACTCGATTTGAAAACGTATCAAACCATTTTATTTAACATTACAGAACATGTACAACTTGAAATCAAGTAGTTGACCACTTGTGCAGAAGAGATGACCAATATTGTTTCCATTCGTCTTTTGTGTCCTTATCTTAATTATTTGCCGGCGTTTTATCGACTAGATGGGCGTAATTCAGAGCTTATCACAGATGCAATCGCGGACAGTATCAACCACATTGACATCCTTAATAAAACCAAATCTGTTTAGCTTAGCGATTAACACTGTCAATGTCCACAAGATTAATTCCACGCGGGTGAACTGCAGCACAGATTTACACCATCCAAGTTCAACATGGCAAAATTCTCCCGCTTTGCTAAAGAGAGCTGCGAACCAACCGAAATATTCCTCTCTATTTTCGCTTCCATACTCTCTGTCTATACTATGGTCATGACTCGTTTTCGTCCACGAATCTTCCGCACCAAATTGCTGTCTGTAAAGCCGTCTCGAATGTGGGTTATACTCGCGCCTTTCTCGATCAGAAAGCGCGCGCAGTCAAACTCGCCCTCGTAAACCGCAGCGTCCAACGGCGAAGATCCATCTTTGTCTCGTACTTCCAGCTGCGCGCCTTTCGTCACAAGATACTGGAGGCATTCAAAGCTTCCCGTACTTGCCGCACGATGCAAAGCGTAGAAACCGTCAACGCCGGGCTCGTTGATATCCACATTTGTACTCTCCAGTACGGTTTTTAACGTATCGACGTCATTGTGTGTCGCTGCCCATTGCAGTAGAATCTGCGGATCAAGAGATAAACTTTGTTTTCTCCTCCGTGTCATTCTCTCATCTGGACTCAATTTATCCTTGTCCTTCAGCGCAAGTGCTGTTTTATCTTCACTTATCCTCCTCAACTTGTTGCTATTGGTAGAAAGCTTAACTGCTGTTTTCATAGCTGCGCACATGTCTACTCCAAGATGGTCAAGAACGTTTGCGTTTTTGAGCTCAGCTGTTGGCCCCCAATTTTGTACGGGTTGCACGTAAATTTCTGGTATCACCAGGTCATTTTTGCCCTCGCCTGATGACGTAGATAATGTTTTGCCTTCTAAAGTTTCATTTCCTGTAGACAAACTTGTTTTGATTAAATTTTCGTCTGTGTTTATTTCGCTACTCGTCGGCCTAGGCGGTTCCATATTGCGTGTTTTCTACAAATTTTCCCTGATACTGCGTCGAGGCCTATATATGAATAAATTCTTGCGCTTTCCTTTGATAAATCACTATTTAAAGACGTCATTGTAGTATTTATTCAACTAATTGCTTTTTTCTTTCGCTATCTTTGACTTAGGCTGGATGGACTAATTTGAAAATTCCTGTGGTAGTGAGAGGTCATCGAAAATTCTCGCCCCTCGACCGAACTGTTTTGCCTCCCAAACGAAATATAGCGCTTGTTTTCACAAACGATTAGAGAATTTAATTCGTCTCAGGTTTTAGGACGTCTAGTGGATGCATTCCAGATTGATATAATAACTTAAACTTGCC